CACGGCGCCGCGTCTGTGCGGTGAGTGCACTCCCGATGGAGGTTTGTTGTGTTATTGTATGATATTCTATTTATTCTACAACCATCACACCGATTGTCTTGTATTGTACTGTACTCGTACTTGTACCGTACGGCAGCCTATGCCCCTGACTTGTGCATATATTTATGTAGAGTTTGTAATTTCTGGGGGTTATGCTACTGTACCGCATGTTTGCGAGCGCAGAGCAAGGAAAGGAAAGGTGGAAAGTGGCAGACTTTTCTCCTTTGTTTTGATTTTGCCCTGGGCATTGAGTGACCGGGGAGAGGGAGGCACATCAACGCGATCGCTTAGGAAGGAAGACAGAAGAAAATCAAAACAACAGACTATCCCTTTTTTCTTTTTGGCTTTCCCACCCTTGCACTGCCTGCGTCTGGGTGGTTACCCTTCGCTCATTCATTTTACTTTTGATCTCCCTTACCACAAGTAATGTAAACCCAACGATCCCGCTTCGTTCACTCACTTGGTCGCTCGCTCACTCGCTCGCCTGCCTTGCTTGTGTTATGTATGTGTACGATACTGTATATCTCTATCCCATCCCGTTGGCCGTTTTTTTTTTTACCTTTCCTCCTCCACCTTCAACCTTTCTCTTCTCCCTCCCTCCCTTCTTCCTTCCCTCCCTTCCTCCTTCCCTTCTTCCCTGCCCCTAACCTGCTCCAACCTTTCTGACCTACCTGACCCACCCGACTCCCATTCCCCCCCCCTTCCCTCCCATCCCATCCTAGAAGAAAGAGGTCGTGAAGAACGTTTCTGCAGTCATTGCGTATATCGGCGTTCATTCTTCAGACTTCTTTTTTTCCCTCCTCCCCACCCCTCTTCCCCTCACCCATCCCCCCCAATTGACATCACAACAACGCGCTCAAGGGCCGAGTCAGCTTTCCTTCCTTCAAGGGTTCCCCTTCTGCTTGCTGTTCATCCCATCAACCATCCCGATAGAATCATCCAAATAGCCTAACTTGACGGCCCTTCTTCCTTCCTCGGATCACTCCCGCCCGTCACTTATACGTTCATTGAATCATCGCTCCGTTCGCTGCCACTCTCTCGCGCTATATATAACAATATCCACCAAAAACCCTTTAACGAATTCTTTATCACGAAATCTATACGGCCTTTCGATTTTCTTCTTTTCTTCTTTTCCCTTTTTCTTTTCGCTGCTTCTTTCGCACTCTCGCGAAGGTTGTTTATCTGGCCAAGGAGACTTTCAACCGTTAATTTGTTGACTTGGGTTGAAGGCTTCGACCGCCTAGTATTTCTGTAATAGGGTCTCGCAATTAGCAGACGACGATTAACGACAACTTCAGCTGCTCCCCAGTTGAGATACGACCAATAATATCAACGGCCATTTGACGAGCACATCCAACTGAAACTTGTACCGACGAGACGGTAAAGCCTCCACCCTCCGAACCCTGAAGCACGGTATATACCTATCTACCGCTCGGCCCTCCCATCGTCCGTCGTGTTAATATTTTCCTAGATACTAGTACTTCACCTGTCAGCATTAACATAATACAATATTTCAGCGAAACCTCAGTAAACATGATGCAGCCTGGAGCAAAACGTGATCGTATGCCGTTCTTGGCGACCGAATCTTTGCAATCTGCGTTGTTTCAATCACCGGAGCAAGGCTCTATTGCTCCGTGGCTTGAAGATGCCTCTTCTGATAGTATTCCCTCCACACCCCCCCCTCAGTTGCTGTCGCCTCAACCTCTCACCCCAAAGCCAACGAGATTTGTTTCACCCCCCCGCACTCCGCTACCCAAACTTTTCACCAACCTCACTCCGCGAGCCATTCGCCAATGGGAGGCAACTGAGGGAGCCGGGAATACTGCTGCATCCATCGGCCGTCCAAATTCTGCTTGCTCCAACTATTCTTCATCTTCGGATTCATCGCTTGATAGCTTGACTACCTTTACCACAGCGGGAGGAAGTTGCACTAGTCCTGAAACTGAGGCTTCCTTCTTCGCCGATGAGCCGGAGGGAGAGACTACCCACCTTAAGCCTACCGATGCCGTAAGATGGAGTAGCAAGATACAAGATGGAACCGGAGAGAAGGACAGTGCAAACCAGATCCGTGTTCGGAAAACCAAATGGACCGAGGAGATGGACAACCATTTGTGGAGGACATATATAATATACCAACAGGATCCTAAGATAACGCCATTTTATGTCTTGCCGGGGCAAGTCCCACCTTTGGGAGTATGTTGTAAAGTCGCCAGGGAGACAAAAAGGAGTTGGAAAGAGGCCAAGATGGGTGATGGATGGAAAGGTGTACCGAGCACCCCGAGGCCCAAGAGAAAATCAAGGGTTTCGGGTTATAAGACGGAGAGTAATGATACTGCGGCCGGGAATAGGGGAGACATCTTGCGAAAGACTTCGCCGTATTCGTGGCCTGCATCCGAGGCCTCGACTCGTCGTCGTTTGAGAGAGTTGTGTAGAGGCAGCTATGGTCCTTCGGTAAATCCTCACCGAGAGTATCGGCAACAGCGTCGAACAGCGTCCACACCGAGACTCCTTCCCCCTCGGTCATCAACGGTATCACCTTCCCCACTCAATTCAGCCAAATCAGATAGAATCGGGTCTCGGGATTCCTTTTTGTTCTCGACAAGGAGTATAGCACTTTCTTTGACAACTAGTACGGCGTCCACCATGAATTCGAATGGGCTTTTGGCTGCTATTGCCTCTGGTTATGATGTTGAACCCGGGATGGCCGCGGGCTTCGGGAGTGGCAACTTTGATTTCGGTAGAGTTCCAGAAAGTGTTTCTGGCGTAAATAGGTGTAGTAGCAGTGTTTTCAGAGGAGGCGAGGAGTCTCAATTGCAACATACCGGAGACGAGACGGAACAGGGTAGCCGGGTCAGACAAGAGACCAGTAATGGTCCTTCTAGCTCGTCGAGTAGCAGGCCCTCGAGGTCAGGGGGTTTGTTGCCGCCGCTGGAGCTGAAGTCGTCTTCCTCCTCATATGGCACCTGGCCAAGACGCCTCAAGCGTCAGGAGATACTCCCCGACTTCAGTGAGGACGCGGTTGTTTTCCCTCCGCCCCGCAGAGCTCGCAGGGGAACAATTGGTGACCTCTTTGGTAATCCCATCTCCTCTCCCCCAACCACTACCCCGACATCATCAAATGCAGGCACAATGTCTACGGCAACAAACACAACAGCTCGCAGCGCACGTAGTCGAGGGTTCACTATCGGAGCCAGTTTCGGTAGTGGTCTGACCAGCCGGAGAAGGTATCGGCCATCAGCACCTCTGCTGACAGTCACTGGCCCGGTGTCTTATGACTCGCCAAACGACTCTGAGATGTTGAGCCCTCTGGCAGCCCGGCACTCATCGTTGGACACCTTTAAGAATGACGATCCGTTCGAGCTTCCGAAACGCCTTGGTTCCCCATTCCTCGAACGTAAGGACTGGAAGGGGGGGGAGGCAGAAGGCTCAAAGGAGAAGTCTGGACTTGATAGTCCTCTCGATGGCGAGTTTGGGGATTTCCTTGGACCCCAGAGTGACGTTGGGATAATAACAGGGGGGAGCACTCCCACCAGACCCATCAAAAGGGCACGCGAGTAGATGGGTTGGAGTTTGATCCGTTCCTCTCGGGTTGACAGAGTTTGTGTCTATGCACCCTGGCCCCGTTTGGATGCACACGCATGAGTTGGTGGACACTCTGGCTGCCGGCTAGCCTACAACTCGACCACTTGGTTCGAGGCAATCTTTATTAGTTTATTCCATTCCATTTTCACATAATCTCTTTCTCCCTTCATCTCCTTACTTACCTTTCGATCTCTCTCATTATATAGTTTCCTGCTGTTTCCACTCTTTTCCCTCTCATCTCTTTCCCTTGATTGTTTTCCCGTCTCCGTAACGATTATGCCGATATGTTTGATGTTTTCCGGGAACTCGTTCGTTTCTTCCATACGAATCCCATCATGATTCTCAAAAATATTTCCTGTAATTGCTCGAGTTAGTTCTTGTGCCCTACCGTAGGAAATTTATGAACATAGTATTATCATCATACCGTACCTGTGACTCCTTTTTTTTCGTGGGCTGAGGCCTGGGCAAAGTGAAGTAGTAAAGTTGAGGGTGGGGGAAGGACCGGGGCATACTTTTTTTCTTTGTTACCTGGCTGTGCACCCTCCCCCCCAATCCCCCCTCACAGGGCAGAGGGTAAGCAGAGAAAAAAACACTTTACGCGGTTGGCAGGACAACCTGTATACTAACAAAGAAAAACTTTTCTCTCTCTCGTGCTTGCCGTATGGCATCCTACGGCAATTTGGTGCAGCCAACATTACGCAGTTGATAGCCGGAGTTTGTTTGGCGCGTGTTAGTGGGAATGGAAGAAAAAAAAAGGAAAGGACCAAGAATTAAATTACTGGAACGCGTTTCTCTCTCGCTACATTGGAGGAAGGAGGGCCCGCTCCCGCTTTGCACATATTTTACAGGGGTAAGCTTGGTGGAATCATTCGTATGTATGGTGCGGTATCGTGCCAGTGTTCCAATGATTTTTGCACGGAGCCTTCTTGTTATCAAATAATAGGTCTCCAACCCGAGTCTAGTCTAGCACTAGCACTCGCGTATGTGTTCGAGGGGAGGAGGGTGCTCGAGTAGAGAGCACATGTTTGGTTCACGACCGACGATACAGATACGTACCGTTTGGGTTGCTGCCAATGGTCAAGTCCCCGTATTATGTGAAACACGGTCCGCAAAAAAAAAAACCCCCCATGTACGAGTAAGATGTGGATGCGGTACGCTCTTGGCTCACCGGCACCCCGGGGCTGACATGGGTAATTCCTTCTTTTCGCTGTCGTGCCATGGTGCTGTCTCGACGAATGCGAGAATTGCTCTATTAATAATGAATGTGATAAAGTGCGGGCGGTTTTCTCGGTGTTCTTTTGGCTCGGTATCTCCGTTTTCCGGGAAGTTGCTCTTCGATCCATCCTGGCAGCTGGCGACCCCTTCCTCTCTGCGGTACCGGTATGTTAGAGTGCTATGCTAATACCCCGGTGCCCGTCAAAATCTGCTTGCCAATGGATTCGAGTAACTAGCGAGCCCAGAAACTTATTGGTGTTTGGTTTGCCAAGTTCGTCTGATTGTACCCTTCTCCGGTGTCATGTGTATGGAGGAGAGTTGGTGCTGATAACGTGGTCTACTCTACTCGTAGACGTTGCTAAAGCCTGACTCGCATGGACGTACGGTGTTGACGTGGGAGAAATAGGTGGGGGAAGTTGATGGCGGTATTTTAGGCATTATATATCGCTTCCCTCTACCACTGCTGGCCGATCCGGTAGTATCGCACTCGAACTGGCCGCTGCGGTTATCGGTGGCCCGGTGCGCAATAGCATTTAATACTGTGCTCGAGTATGATAACTGTTCTGTGCGTGTGGTGTTTGTTGGAAAGTAGGCTGTGACAGCGTCATGACAGAGCACTCGCTATCAGTTTTTCTTGGTAGTTAGTCGGGTGGTTCACTACTCCACTATCGGTGCCTATGACGCCCCGATTGTCAAAGGGTAGCACCCATGACCGTGTATTTAATGGGAACAAAAGTAGATTGCAGCCTTTGGCATACCGCAAGGACAGGGATTATTGAACCTCGCGATAAGACGTTGGAGTTGCCTTTGCTGGTATGGTGCGGTAAATTTGTTTTTTGTCCTAGGTCAGGGCCGAGGGGGTCCGTGTTCACATTGATTTCGCCCCCTATCCAGGAGAGGGAATTTTGGACGTCTTAAAAAGCGAGGTTCAATTATTCCGGTCCTTACCGTATGATACAATGTTACATGTAGGTTTGGAAAGTGTTTAGTCTTTTAGAAACCTTCATTTTGACATCATTATCACCTCTTCGTTATTGAATTTGGTGTCTGGTAGACATGCTATCATACTCGGAAGGAGAATAGGGTTTTGGTAGAGGTGGCCGGGCTATCCCTACCGAGCCCCCCATCCCGCCTATCCCACCTGTCCCGCCTGCCCCACTCCGCTCCCGCCCAAGATCTCTGCCCTCACCTGGCGCGCCCCCGCCCCTACCCACAATCCGCACCCCTCCCTCCCATTCCACCCATCCCGCCGGTCCATGCTCGGCCTCCCACGTGCCCCATCGTCTCCTTGGGGCTTCGAACTTTGGGCTTGGGTCAGCCAGCTGTTTGGCACTGGTGTCCTCTGGGGAAAGGACAGTGGGTCAGGCAGCTGGTACTGCTATGAGGCCTGCTGGGTGTGGCAATCAATGTTGTCAAGGTCGTCCCATGTCTGCCATGGAACCTGAGGAATATGAGATGACTAAGTTAGCAATAAGAAGTGTTTGGAGCTTCTAAATTTTTTTGAGAAAACCTCCCAAAGTGGATGCCATAAGCTAAGGGTGTTATAGTAAAAACTTGGAGATAATAATAATAATAACAAAACAGAGCAAGTTTTTTGTTATTGGTTAAGGGAGTTTTGGTGAGATGAGGGTTTGCCAGAAGGTCTGTATCGCACACCAACAGAATCAACGTTCCCAACCGTCCGGGGGCTGCCAAGAGTACCGGACGGGACGGAGCTGCATCTAGTAGTCTGCCCAGGGCCGGTGATATCTCAGGACGGCCATCATTTGCCCAGGCGGCGGGCCCTACAGGGCGAGACAGTGGCTTGGAAGGGTAGCAGTTAGCTGTGCTTAGTCAAAAGACGAGACTTTTCAGGATTTTTAATGCTCAAACGACTCAGCATGTGGGTCGGCTCGAGTGTTCTTAGCGAATCGCGGAACTCAGATCGTTCCGGAAACAGACTTTGCATGCTGGTAACGAATTTTACTACCTCAGACCGCCCAGGGGATAATGGATAGATTTGATAAGCATAGATCTCCTCAACTACCGTTATTGCATTATAATAGAGATGAAGGCTGAGGCCTATTGTATCTTTATCAGTGGAAAGACCAATCGGGTTCAGACTTCATATACAGGTAATACATGCCATGACTTACCTTGGATATACCTTGCCCGCTCATGGATTCCAGCTACCAAATGAGATGGTCCATCAGCTCTACTATTACAATTATTTCGCTTCAGATACTCGGACTCGCCGGGCGCTGGGGGTTAATTTCCCGTACTTTAGAAAACTTATGGGGTACACGTAGATGCTTGTGATTGAACTCTGGTAACAAGTGCCAGGCAAGAATGCTTCGTACAAGAACTGGGATAATTTGCTATTTAACTACTCCTGTATTGCACGAAAACATCTTGCCTGGCACTTGTGCATCTGAATACGATACAACACAAAATAGGACTATCATGTAGCTCATACACATATACAGTACCCCGACTTGTATCTCAAAATAGGGGACGTGTCATAGCTTGCGTAAGATATGAAAGTAATGGATAGAGTACTTAAGTTTTCTGGTGCACCAACCTCGCTACGAATCTTCATCACCTGAAAACTCTTTTTTTTCTTTTTTCTTCTCTTTCTTTCATCAAAGTGAGCATCATCACCACAAAACTTCCAAATTTCCAATTTCCCAATTCAAACCATCCCGCTATCAAACGAAATTGCCATCGAATTTCGGGAATTTTTTGGACATATTTTGAAGTTCTGAGTGGCCTGATTGCTAACTGGGTTGTCTCATATTCTTCAGAATGGAACTTTCGTCATGGGCAAAATGTTGCTACGATAATTGTCGGCATTTCCAGCACGTTGACAATTACACTGGTTGGCCGTTACGCACCCGGAGCGATGACTTACGATACGGCAGTATCCCCCTCGGATACATGGGTACTAGAGCTTGCGAATTTGACTACGAGAATGGGCAGTCTACAAAAAAATGGATACCTGGGAAGAGGTCTATGGGAGAGCGTGGGGTGGGGCCTAGACCGTTGGGGGGGCAGGGAGGGATGCATGAGGGGAAGAGGTGGGGCGAGATGGGTGGGGGTGGAGGGGGCGGGGGGATAGTAGGCAGGGGATGATGAGAGGGGGTGGATAGAATAAGAAAGAGATGGAGAAGCAGAGATGCCAGCCACTAAGGCCACCTCTGTGCTTTTACAATAGTCTGGTTCGACGCTATTAAAAAACACTTCTGAGTGCGTCTGGTTACTAGTGATTTTTTCAAACCTTTATAACTGCAAAACGTGAGTTGCAACAGGAAATTACAATTATAACATCAGAGTGTGATGGTGTGGTCGCCGTGCGGGGGGGTATGAAGACTTTGCCGATACGACTGTACATATATAGATGGTAAGTCTTGTTCGCCGTGGATACCTACTATCACTCCTGGACCAAAGGCGCCGCCGGATATACTAGGCATACCTCAGGCTAACTATTCCTTTCCTGCAGCCCCTCTGATCTCTGGTACCTGCATAACTTTGGTTTGCTGTAAGATGATTATTGTTATGATAAGTCACTAATTGCGTGAGGGGTTAGACTTTACAATATTAACTTTTACCACTTTGATCGCTTTACTCTACCGTTAATTAATCTTTATCTTATCCTTATCTTTGAGGGGGACACTTCATTACCGTTATACTCTTAGGACGCTCCTACAGGGAGCCCCCAGTACATCTTTTTGCCACCTTCTACCATTGCACTAAGCCTAACTGACTAGAACTGTGACCGGCGAGATGAGGAATATGAAGGGGAAGGAAAGCTATGGCGCCCGAAGCCTCAGAGGGTGAGTGTGTTAACCTCCGGCTCCCCCTTCCAGAAAAATAGAGAAATGCTGTTCCTTTCCCAATAAGTAATAGGTTGCCATCCCACATTTAGCCAAAAGAGGATTAAGTCATGATTGGTAGTAACTGTATTGGGAATGGGGAGATATTGGCAAATATATACACGAACTACTTTATCAAGAATATCCTACTTGCCCGCTCCTATCAAGTCTTACATATTTCCTGCAAGTGATTCCAATCTATCCTCAGCTTGTAAATAAAGTCTTCGGTGACTTTTATAGGTTTTCTCTGTTCACCAACCTCCACCTTCACGATAGGCTTCGGCAATATCAGAGACCCGGTGCCAAAATCGCTAGATGAATTGATTCGATTAGGCTAATGCCTGTGGGATCA